TACATATCTTTAATACTTTTCTTTATTTATAAAATTATATAAATTTTACATAACCAAAATTCTTGGCCTTCAGGAATTTTTATAACTCTAAGAATTCTACAGTTATAAGCGGTCTTAAAAAATCTCTCGCCACCGTCGATACCTAGACCTTTTCACCGAGGACTCCGCCCACGTATAGCCATAGTTAGCGGAATATAATATGGAAAAATTATGGTATTTATTATGTGTAAATATAATATGTATTTTTTATAAAAATTTTATTTAATTATTTAAAAAATACGAATTTATTAAAATTATGTTTATATAAAGAGCATAATTATATCAGCAATAATTTAAAAATGAGGAATAAAAAATACAATATTTCATTCATTTATTTAATCTTGTATAAACACATTTTTACATATTAATCATATTTTTCTTCAAAATATATAATGATATATAAACAAAATATATTAATATACATTTTTGTATTATTATGTGATATAAATTATTAATAACTAAAAAAAGATCAAGTGAAGTTATATGTTAATAATGTATGAAATTAATTTTAAAGTAGGTAAGTATATCAAAATATAAACATCAAATTTTAATTAAAAAAATCAATTATCATTGATGATAATTCAAAAATATTAAAAATTTCAACAATTGGCTATAATGAATATATCAAATGATTTCAAAAATTGCATGTTCATCTCACTCAAATTATTTTTGTTAATAATATTAGTGGTAATTTTATAATTTTCAAATATCAAATCTTGTGTGTGACATCCTGTCCACATCAGTTTCTGAGAGAAATTTGATATGGTATATAAGAGATTAGAGACTACTTCTAAACAACTTGGGCTTAAGCATTTTAGGGCAGTGGGTCAGGTTCAACAAATTGTTAGGGTCAGTAGTCTCGGGTTGTTACAAATGGTATTAGAGCAAAACGATCTTCGGACCTATTCTGTTTGGATACGAATATGGATTTCTGATATGAATTTCTGACTTGACAAGGACGTCAAGTGTTTAAGTGGGGAAGATTGTGACATCCTGTCCCACATCGGTTTCTGAGAAAAATTTGATATGGTATATAAGAGACTAGAGATTACTACTAAACAACTTGAGCTTAAGCATTTTGTGCCAATGGGTCAGGCTCAACAAGTTGCTAGGCCCAGTAGTTTCGGGTCGTTACATTGTGAGTAAATGTTTTCATAAAATCATAAGTAATATAATGTAAAAATTATTAAAATTATTCAAATAAATGTATTTCAAATCCCATTTTTCTAATTTAAAAGATTTTCCACTATTATTATATTTATTCTCATAAACACAATATTATAAAATATTTTTTATGATAATTTATTTTTTTATTTGAATAACTTCAAAAATATTTCAAAATTTGTTACATAGTGCAAAGTACATAATTGATAAAATTTAAAATGTATATTTTTTTTAGTATTGATAAATAATTTCTACAATAATCTTACCAAACTCTTGTAAAAATAAAATATAATTATATATACCAAAATATTATTTAAATATATTAGTGTGTGTACATCTGTATTATAAAAGATGTATTTTATCAAATATTTCATAAAAAGGCAATAATAAGTAATTTTTAAAAAATTATATGTGACAAAATATTATTTAAATATAATATACATCCTTATTTAAGGAGGAATACAGCCCCAAGTTATTCACATGCTGCGAACTTGTAACGACCCGGAAATTGGTCAGGTCGGGTTGGGTCGGGGTCAAAGGAGGGGTGGCGAATGCGCAGTGTGATGTGCGCGTGTGTGTGTATAACAAATCTAACGTAGATGGATTATCTTGTTAGGTACGGGTTAGGGCAGACTCAACTGGTCATATACATATATCCCAAAGTTGGTCTGTTCTTTATTTGATTGGATTAGTCTAATGCAGGTACGGGTAAGCAGATTTTGTTCTAAACCAAAAAAGATTGATCATATTGACTCAATCCAATTGATTCGGTTCCGTTACTATAAGAAAAATCTTTGATCTAGTCAAATCAGTTTAGTTTTATATAATTCGATTTGGTTACGTCTGTATAATTTTAAATATATAATCAAATTACCATAATATGTATGCTTTGATAAATTAGTAAATTTTATTATTTTTTACTCTATTTTTTAATTGAGATTAACTAAAGTAAGATTTCAAAATTCAGTCTAATTATTTAATTGAACGAAAGTATCACTGCTGATGTTTGGATTTAATTCAGTTTATATTTTATTAGTTTTAGTTTAAATTTAGTTTAAGTATTTCGGTCTATCTTAACTCTAAACACGCAGAACAAGTTGAGCCCACAAGTAATTATGTAATTATTGGTAATACTTGGCATCTATAATTAAAGTTGTTAATCAGTTATATTTTAATTTAAATTTGATTTAAATTCAATTCAAATTTCATGATTCGAAATGGATTAAAAAATTTGATAAATCATGTCTAATTATAAATTTTTATAATTTAAAATAAATGAATTGAATATGAAATTAAGTAATGTGATCTGTTAAACAACTTAATCCGAAATTTAATAACTTTTTTACTAAATTAGTAATCTTATATTTATAAAATTAATAAATTTTAACATAAAGGAACTAAATTAAAAAAATTAAAATATTTAGGGATTAAAATGACTAATGGAATACAATTAAGGAATTTAAGCACAAAAATTATTAGTTTCTTTTTCAGTTGAGCTTTTTGAACAGATTTCAGATTATCCATTGAATTTAAATATATAAATTAATAAATATAAATTTTATAAGATATTAGATTGGATTTGGATATGAAAAAATATGTAATTAAATTTAGATTAATTTCATACATATTGGACCCATTTACAATCCTATTTATAATATCTAGGTTTGCAATGCTTAAAGCTAACATAATTAACAATATTAAAATGTCCATAATTAAAATTTAAAATTTTCAATGAATTGCATCGTTGCATGGGTTATCATCTAGTTAAGAAAATTAAAATAAAGTGGGGATTGACTTATTTCAGGTTTTCAGAGTTAACCTTATCGCATAAAATGGTTCTAGAGCTCTTGGGTCCAAATTGAAAAATACAGAATCTTAACTTCCTGATGGGTTTTTGATGATTTTGAATTTGAAATTGTAATTAAGAGTGTTAATGGATTGAATTTTTATTTAAATTCAATTTCAATTTGATTTAAATTTTAATATTCGAATTTGATTAATATATTTTATAAATCAGATCTGATTGCAAATATTCGTAATATAAAATAAATAGATCGAATATAGAATTAAGTAATTCGATTTGTTAAATATTTGAATTCAAATTTTAATAATATTTTTATTAAATCTTATATATATAATATTAATAAATTCAAATTCATAAATATTAAATTGAAAAAATTAGAAAATTCAGGAATCAATATAATTAATAGAATAGAGTTAAGAGATTTAAGTGTAGAAGAATATTATTTTCGTGTCAGACTAAGTTTTCTTATCAAATTTTAAATTATATATCGAATTCAAATATAATTTAACATTCAAATATCTTATAAGAGTTTACATTTAATTCATATATATAAATGATAAATTAGGTTCAAATTTAGTTAATTTAATATAAATTTAACCTATTTACAACTTTAATTACCACGTTAAAAGGATGCTTTTGTGGTGGCACAAGTAATGCGCCCTGCCCTTTAGCGGAGATTAATTTGTACAAGAAGAACCAGTTTACGTTGAAAAATCATAAAGTCAGGTTTTCTAAGGGAGAAACTGAATTTCTGACTTTTTGGGGAGAATTCAATTCTTTTTCCTTCAAAACCAAACACCCTCTAAGACTATTGTAACAAAAATTAATAAAGAAAATTATTTAGCTTGTTAAAAAATTAATGGATATTATAGATTTTTGGGTTTTAAAATCTTGATTTTCAAAATTTTTTAAAAATTATTTCCGACTCATTTTTGGGTGTAAAGCTCTCAAATAGAGATTTTTTGTGAAAGCTACTTTTCTGGTATATTTTTTTTACAATATTTGTCAACTTTGAAAGTCTCAAAATTAAGGTTTTTTTTTTAGATTTTTTTGGATTTTAAAGACAAAATATTTTGTGATAAAAAATCGTTAAGACAAATATTCACAAGTTTAAAAAATTTTAAATCTTTTTTTATAAAAAATAAAATAAAACACGGTATTTTTTTATTTTTCTTTCACTGCAATTTAAAAGCCCCAAATATCGGGTGTTCTTTCCGGAACAACTGGAGCAGTATCGTAATTATGCTGTTGAAGTGGCCGCGATAGTCAAAGAAACGAGCAAGTTTCTTTGCTGGTCGCATGTAATCTCCATTTTACCCTCACAGGTTTTTTTTTTTTTTGGGGAGACTAGTATTCTCTAGGCTAAACAACGATTGGATGACCGGGAATTTCATATCAGGTCTTATCTAACTCAGTTAATAATTTTAATAATTATAAATTAAATATTAAATAATAATTTTAATATTAATCAAATGCGTGATATGATTTTTGATCGGTAAATTATAACTTAATATTAAATGGATCTGTTCCGTGTAACACATGGGTTTACCAGCCTATAAATGAGACTGCTTACACCTTATCATTTGTAAGCAGGTGAGAGAAACAAATATGTATATTACAATGTAGAGAGAGAGAGAGAGAGAGAGAGGAAAAAACGAAAGGGAAAAACTATGCACCCTCTCTTTTATTGGGGAGGCTGAAGAGGACGTTTTGAGCGGAAGTGCGTCTAAGTTCTCTTCATGTAAGCCAGTGGGTCCCACCTCCTTTACACCTCTCCCCCCCCTCTCTCTCTCTCTCTCTCTCTCTCTCTAAAACCACACTCGGTCTTGCTTGTCCTTCGTTCCAGCTCTTCATCAAACAACGGCGCGGACAAACCTGGTCTTTCTCTCTCTAATTGGACTCTTCCCTCCCGTTTCTCTCTCTAGAAAACTGCCTCCTTTCTGACACTTCGGGTTTGAAATTTGAATAAATGGGGAGAGTTCAAGGGAGGCAAATGAAATTGGTGTGAGCAAGATAAGAAAAATGCCCTGTCTATGTATCTATGCACACATAACGTACGGCAGCTGAAGAGCCCGGTTTTTAACCGGGGTTAGCTTTCTGGGTCTCTCTCGATAAATCGTTTGTTGTTCTTGGATATATTTTGCGTATTGGGCTGGTTTAATTTGTTCTTTTTCTGCATAGTTGTTGTCGGTTGGGTTGATTTGTAAGAATGAGCAGCAAGATGTTTTTGGGTTGCAAGTATTAGATAGATTGCGATAAGAGTATGCTTGATTTCGGAACACGGTGTCTATAAATCTGTCCTCTGCATGCGAATGGAGGATAAGATCTGAAAGATGGGATGGCTGGAAATCTGGTTCTTCTGTTGCCGATGCAGTGGGCTCTTCAGGTAGCCTGCATTTCTGGTTTCTGCTTTCGTCCAGGCTGAAATTTGGGTGGGTTTTCAAATTTTATCTTACTGATTCTTATTTTATGACCTTTTGGTATATTTGTATATGTATGCGTGCGGGTGTACTGGTTGGGGTAATTTCATATTCACTTCATCAAATACTGAATAAAAAATTTTGAGATGTATGGTAACCGCTTGAAATATTGCAGCCATTTCTTCTTCTTATTTTATTTTATTTTTTTGGTTAGCCTCGTCTCTGTTCTTATATAAAATATTTATTTACTTCCTGTTTTTGTATATATATAGCAAATGGGTGTCTATTTTATGTAATTCTAAATTTACACGGCCTTTTGATTTCTTTTAATTTTTGTTCTGCAGGAGTTGAGTATTGAAAGTTGTGGAACGACAATTCATCTGGGGTATAGAAGGGTCAGCAATTAGTCATAAATGGATTGAAGAATTTGTCCATTGGGTGCAATGTTAAAGGCATTAGCATCTGGGCTTTTGATTTCGTCTTTCCTCTTTTCAATTTCTGCTGCTGAAAATTTTCCCAGATGCGATTGCAACGAGGAAGGGTTTTGGAACGTCGAGAACATTCTGGAATGTCAAAAAGTGAGCGATTTCTTGATCGCAGTGGCCTATTTCTCCATCCCAATCGAGCTTCTCTACTTCGTTAGCTGTTCAAACGTTCCCTTCAAATGGGTTCTTTTCCAATTTATTGCTTTCATAGTTCTCTGTGGGATGACCCATTTGCTCAATGGCTGGACTTATGGCCCTCACCCATTTCAGCTAATGCTAGCCCTCACCATTTTCAAATTCCTTACTGCCCTCGTCTCCTTTGCCACTGCTATAACACTAATTACTCTTATCCCTTTGCTTCTGAAAGTGAAGGTGAGAGAGTTTATGCTGAAGAAGAAGACTTGGGATCTTGGCAGAGAGGTTGGGATTATCAAGAAGCAGAAGGAAGCTGGGTGGCACGTCCGAATGCTCACCCAAGAGATCAGAAAGTCTTTAGATCGTCATACAATTCTCTACACTACTCTGGTTGAACTGTCCAAGACGCTAGATTTGCAGAATTGTGCTGTTGGATGCCTAATGAAGCTAAAACTGAGATGAACCTAACCCATGAACTGAAAGGGAGAAATGCCCTGAATTTGCAGAGCTCTTCGATCCCGATTACTGATCCAGATGTTAGAGAAATTAAAGGGAGTACTGGGGTGAAGATCCTAGGCCCTGACTCTGCACTAGCTATTGCTAGCAGCAGAGGGTCTATTGAGCCCGGTGCTGTGGCAGCTATTCGAATGCCAATGCTTAGGGTTTGTAATTTTAAAGGTGGAACTCCTGAGATGATTCAGACCTGTTATGCTATACTTGTTTTGGTTCTTCCTGGTGGGCTAGGTAGAAACTGGAGCCATCAGGAACTGGAGATAGTAAAGGTAGTGCCGATCAGGTGGCTGTGGCTCTTTCTCATGCTGCTGTGCTCGAAGAGTCCCAACTTATGAGAGAGACGCTGGAGGAGCAAAATAGAGCTTTACAAAGGGCAAGCAGGACGCAATGATGGCAAGCCAGGCAAGAAACGCATTTCAGAAAGTAATGAGCGATGGAATGAGAAGGCCAATGCATTCAATTTTGGGATTGCTTTCGGTGATGCAAGATGAGAATTTGAATGGCCATCAAAGGATTCTTGTGGATGCAATGGTTAAGACCAGTAATGTGCTTTCCAATTTGATAAATGATGTGATGGATATTTCCAGCAAGGATAGTGGTAGGTTCCTGCTAGAGGCGCGGTCCTTTGGACTACATTCTATGGTTAAGGAAGCTGCTTGTGTTGCCAAGTGCCTTTGTATTTATAATGGTTATGATTTTGTAGTTGAAGTTGATAAATCTTTGCCTGAGCAAGTTGTGGGAGATGAGAGAAGGGTTTTTCAAGTGATTTTGCACATGTTTGGAGTCTTTTAAAATGGTGGCCGCAGAGGTGGGTGTGTAAGATTTCGGTTTGTTTGGAGAGTGAAAGTCAGGGAAGGAATGATCCAAGATGGGCGACATGGAGAGCAAGCTCATCAGACGGTTATGCTTCTGTTAAATTTGAAATTGGCGTTTCCAATCACACTTCTCAGTTTGAGGGCTCGATACCGAGAGTAATTTTTGGTGGTCGGAGGTACAGTGAGGAGGGCTTGAGCTTCAGTATATGCAGAAAGCTTGTAAAGGTGAGAAGGATGATTCATAAAACTAATTATGTTTATCTGCCATGTTTATTTGTATTTCTGGCAGTACCTACTTCTGCAATTGAATGGGATGGTACGGACACCCAGTATTTTTATTTCTATATTGATTTGCTGATAATGCTTCTTGGCTTGTTTGACATATTGGTTATGCTGATTACTATTTTCTTCAGCCAGAATTTCGATGGTCTTTAGAACTATGATAATAAGTACGAACTTTTTCTTTAAAATATCTTTTTAATGCAGCTTTATTCACTTCTGTTCAGAGCTTTTTTTTAGGCAATATTTTGGAGCTTGTGTGGGAAGGAAATAATTTCTGTTCAATTGACAAATTGGATCTATTTCTTATATTTTATGTTACTTAAGCGGAATTTAGTAAAAACTATATGAGCAGTATTCCTTGTTTGGCCAGATTTTCTTATTTCATCCCTGACTTCCTTTTTCAAATAAAATTGCAGTTAATGCAAGGCAACATCCGGGTTGTCCCAAACTCAGATTGCTCCGATCAGAGCATGTCATTTGTTCTTCGATTGCAACCCTGGTCATCCGTTGTTATTGGAATCTCTGAATCAGGGGAGACCTCTGAACATCCACCCTCCAACTCTCTCTTCAGGGGCCTTCAAGTCCTTTTGGCTGATGACGACGATGTTAACAGGGGAGTGACACGGAAGCTTCTACAAAAAACTTGGGTGCTCCGTTACCATTGTTTCCTCAGGCTGCGAATGCCTTAGCGCGCTTGACTCTGCTGTCTTGTCATTCCAAATTGTGCTTTTGGATCTTCAGATGCCTGACATGGATGGGTTTGAGGTGGCCATGAGGATTCGGAAGTTCCGAAGCCGCAGCTGGCCACTGATCATTGCTCTGACAGCAAGTGGTGATGAAGAAGTTCGAGAAAAGTGTTCCCAAACTGGGATGAATGGACTTATTAGAAAACCTGTTCTTTTACAGGGTGTAGCAGATGAACTTCGAAGAGTACTGTTGCAGGCAAACAGAATTGTGTGATGAATGGATCTGGACATGAGGGCTGTTGGGTCTGGCTGATCCGACCTATTCCATGATGTTAGGGACCTTGATAGCGATGAGACTAGAAGCATTTCTAAAGGGTTGACCGCACCCTGCGTTGCAAAAAATTCCAGTATAGCAATGTTACACAAAATTCATAGTCAAAATGGTATACGAAATTCAGCCACTTTCTCCTTTGTGTTCAATTCTAATCCAAGTTTCAATTGCATAGCTAATTTAACACTTAGTTATAGATTCTTTATAAATATTCATGACTATGTGAAAGGACCATTGTACACAAGAAGATTTTGAATGCTTGACCAAAAGCCTTTTGTTTCAACTGGTAGAGCACTAGGCATAATGGAGGCCCCAAATCTTCATAGTGGAAAACTTATTTCTGAGGAACATTTTGAACAGGAATATTATATGGTACTATAAATTATTGGAAAGTATTCATAATAAATGCACCTTGGGACCTCTACATGTGAATGTGTACTCTGTCCAAGTTCATCTCCCTGGATAGAGTTGAAGAAACAATGTAATATTTTTGGTTGTTAATTATTGAGTAGTATGTAACTACATGGTTCTTAAATACCAGGAAGATCTCCACCACTTTTGTCATTTTTTTGTTTCCTTTTTATTCTTATTCCTTGATATTGGTTCCACCTTTTCAGCCTATTCTGTCCACTAAATGATCCAGAGCAATACTAGATATTTTGAGCTATGGGTTTCAGTGGAAACTGCTAACTAGCTCAATTTACATGCTCTACTTGATGTTTGAAGTGGAAATCAGTGAGTAGTGACAATGGAAATGTGAGAATTTTGTACTTTGTGATGGTGGTTGGTGGCCATTTGCCCAAACCATTGGGTCCAACATTATCCTGTGTACATTATCGTTTCAATAAATAGGGTCTCAACTCTAAAGTGGCAATTAGTCACTGACAGTTAGAAGTGCTAGCTAGGTGGTTGCAGGTGCTTCTTCTGATAAGCTTTAGTTTTTCTTTGGTGGCATACAGGCAAGTCAAAGTGCCATCAATTAGAACGGCGGCCTGCCTTCTTTATTAATTCCTGCCGTTATTATTCATGGGTGAACAGTGACAATAGGGTTGATAGATGGTTGCTTGGTATCAGATAAGCTTTAAGCTACTTAACTTGGCTTTTCCGCAAGTCAAGAAGTATTTTGTTTCTTTCTTTCTAATGATGCGAGCTTGGTTACTTCGCGGAGGGGTTAAACTTCTCTGAGAGAGATGGCTCTATGGTGTTTGTTTTTACCAATGAAAAATGCAGCAATCAAGCATAGGAAAGTTCTCTGAGAGAGCCTTATTTCAATTCTTTTACACTTGCTTCTGAAAGAGATGGAGAGTTTGTTTTCCCAATAATAAAACAAGTGAAAGTTTTCTTGAAGAAAGAGCTATGCATTTTTTATTCATAATAACACAACATTTCTGAATTCAAGGTTCAACTCAAGCCAAGAATACATGTGATATTCATTTGAAGCCATGGTTTTGATTCCTGACTGTTTTCTCTTTCTCTAATTTAAGTTTTTGACTTGAGACTTCAATGAAATTAGGGGAACAAAAGAACAAAAAACATAACATTTCTCTATATATCTACAATTTATATTCTAGTAACTAGTACAAAAAAGTAATCTACTCGTTGCACCTGCATATCACGTGACAGAGGGTACGGTATATAGGTCAAAACACTGAAGAACAGAGGGGAGGGGAGAGGAGGGATGGTGGTATGGAAAATGGGAAGCCATGCATGAAAACATTATGGGCGGGGGTGAAGAGGTGGGGTGTTTACGTATGTATATGGACGCTTTGGACTCGGGCTGGATGTCGACCCACATCCAACATGCCCCCCTCCCATTCTCTCTCCCTTATCCCACATCCCGGAAAAAGGCCAGTCATAGATCTCGATGGACCCCCACAAGTGGAAAGAAATAATTCCTTGTTTCTATTATCTTGTAGTCCATTGTGACTCTCCACAAATATTATTTTATTCTATGCAGATATTATTATTTTAATATTCCATTGATTGCCATCCATCCCTTTCACTTTTCTGTAGTCAAATCCTTATTTGCGAAACATTGGTGGGTTTTCTCCATGATTTAGCCGTTAATGGTTTAGTTAGGCTTGATTGATTAGTGTTGGAATTCAAATTAAATTATAATTTATAGTTTGTAATATTTAAAAATTAAATTTAATTAGTTCACAGTTTAATTTTTTTTAAATTATAAATTGTAATTTATAAAATAAAATTAATTCAATTGTTATTTTTATAAAAATTTTAACAGAATTTTTTTAAAAATTAGATATTTAACTTTTTTATTATCTAATACAACAAATTTATCGATTATTAACTAATTATAATAGTTATATATTATACAATAAATATATTTATACATTATAACAGTGTATGAATCATACTAATAGAAAAATATCAACTATCTAAAGAAGTATAAATATAACAGATAATAGAAAGAACAAATTGCAGTTAAATATTAAAAATAAACTATCTATATAAATATAAGATTTTTAAGATTGTATATATATAAACTATATAATTTAATTTAATTTTACGATTTATTTAAATATCAAATATTAAATCAAATAGTATAAAAAAATTATACCTGTAAACCAAATTGAGCAAAATCAATTTAATCCATTTAAACGAACTGGTTTAATTTGTTGAATTCTCTTACATCACATTATATGAAAATCATTTGTTCAGCTTTTTTAATTTTTATTTAGGCAAAGATTAAGCCATTTATAGGAGATAGATCATCCCTAGCTACTTTGACACCAGTCATGGTCAGACGGGGGAGACGGAGAGATTTAGCGGGAAGCCATCGAGTCATCTTTGAAATTGAGAGAAAATGGTACAACTATTATTGTTAATCAAGTCTATGTCTATATCTATATGAAGGGACTAGGAATTTGGTCTTTTGTTGTCCAATCCTCGCTCACTACTTATCCGTTCAATATTAATCTTTTTTTTTTTTTTTCAGAATCAAATATGCATGCAAAGTTAGGTTGTGTTTAAAAGGCATCTGTGATATTTCATTATCCATTAAATATTAAATGTAATGTGATATAATATATAAAATATTAAAAATTATTAATAAATAATTTAAATTTAAATATTTTAAATTATAAATTTAACTTGGTAAGTTATTGGAGTTAATGGCTTTTAAGTTACTTTAAATGATATCAGAGTTAAAAGTGATTTACGTTGAATAAGTTATTTGGGTCAATAACTCTCGAATTATTATATAATTTATGATGTATGAAATATATTATATTATAAATTTATGTCTTTTTAATTATATATATATGTATATATATTCGTTTATTAGATGTTTAAGTGTAAGTTAGAGGAGAGAGATGATCAAAATCTAACCTATGACTTTTAAATAAAATTTTCAAGTGACTGATATAAGAAAGATGGCAGCTCAATTTTGGATAAATTCTATAAAAAAAAATCAAAATCAATTCTATTATTATTATTATTATTATTACTTTTTTTTGCCATCACGGATTCACGCATGCTGCCTACACGATAATTGTTCTCGAGTAGTAGAGCCAAGATGATCTTGGCTGCTTTCAGAAAAAGAAGAAAAAATGTGCATGCACATAATTGTGCCTCTATATATATATATATATATATATATATTGGTGGGGGGGGGGGTGGTTGGGTTAGGTTTACCTTCCTATGAGTTAGATATAATGAGTTCAAATCTAGTTAGTTAACGAAGTGGAGTTAAAATTAAGAACAAAAATTATTATACTCTCTTAACTTTTATTTTATTTTATTTATCTTCTAAAATGTTATTCTCTGAATACTGACATTATTTTTTGAAAACTGACATTGTTAACCTATATCATATTTGTGACCTGAAATATCAAATATTAAATATTTAAAAAATATTATTGTTAGGATAGTTAATTGTTAAAATTTAAAAAGTTAAGTTAATATATTATAGTTTATAATAAATATGATAAAATATATTTAATTTTAGATATTAAATTAAAATACAACCAAATTTTATATAAATTAATTTAAATTATTTGTATAACTTAACTAAATAATAAATAAAGAAGTTAAATTTAGTAAAATTATTCAAGTACAGTAATTTTTGACCTAAATTATTTTCATTTTCTATTTGTAATATAATAGTATCAAAAACTAAATTTTGTCATTACAAATATAAAATAGTAATTTATAATTGAGAAGACTAAATTTTTCAATAAAAATTTTTGCAATTGCAATAAAAAATAATATAAATTATAGTAATATCAACAAAAAAATTAAATTAATTATTAATATTCAAAATCTCATTAAATCTACTCTTCTTTTGCCATATTTTTTTGATTTAATGGTGTTTAACAACAAATTAGTGGTGTTAATGTAAAGGGGGTTAATGATACATTATAGAGTTTAGGAGAATAAATAAGAAAAAAAAAAGCTTAAAAGGGTAAAATAATTTTTACCCTAAAATTAATTAGCAGTATTAATTAATAGGCATACTGCTTCTCTTTAAAAATAGTAGTGGAAGAGTCATTTATTAAATAAACATATTGAAGATAATATAGTAATAATTATTAAATTAAATCTGAGCTTTAGGTTCTTTATTTTCTTAACCCAATGAGCTAATTTTTGAATTTTAATGTGGATTTATTAAAAGGTCAACTGTTTTTAAAAAAAAAATCATGACTTTTAATAGTCATTGAATACGCCTTTATTTTTTAACTGTAAAAGATATCTTGGATGGCTGTTGGACCAGCTCTGCGGACTCATAATCTTGCAAAATTCTCTGCACCACATTCCAGAAAAGACAGGTTGACAAGGACTTAAAATTTTAGGCCGCTTTTGGTTTGATTAGAGATTAAAAAAAGAAGTCATTCCTCGTAAAATTTGAAATTAATGTTGTCACAAAATTAAAATTATAATCTTTTTATGTCATTAAATAAAAAAGTAGAAGCTACAAAAGTCAT